AAATTTGGGGTTAGGACCTTTTTCTTTTGTTCTATAAATGATTGTCAAATGAGATTTAATGTTTAAAATTTGATTTTCATGGTCGTAGAATCTATTGGCGGAGTTTATTTTCACCCTTTGTCTAAAGAGAATAAAATTAACTTTGGGATTTTGCACATGATAGATTTTCACAATGAAAAGATCCGTATTTTGTCAAAAGACTTGAATTTCCGAGAAGAACCTTTTTGCTGTTCAATTGAGATTCTCTCCTAATTGAAGTGCTTTCTAAAAAGTGCGTTTAGCTACCGTACTCTCGATTTTAACTAATATACCGTATTCTTAAGGTCTAAGCCAGTCAAATCCCTGTCGCTCTTCCTATTGGCGGAATTTATGATTGTTTTAGAATCTGTTTTATTTTAATAAAATTTAGAAAAAAGGCATAACCTCTGGCAATTACGAAAATCCAAAGCAAAAAAGTCTTGATACCTTTTCTCTTTTTTCTTTTTTTATTACGCTAGAGCTTTGCTGATTTTTATGATATTGTTTCTTTTTAGAGATGCCGTACAAGCAATACGACAGTCCCACAAAGGAGCGAATTGTTGGAGCTCGAAAAGCCGGACTCAAAGTCAGTGTGATTGAAAAGCTCTTCTTTGTTTTGAAGATGACAATATGGAGGCTCTGCGAACGGATGAAAGAGCGTGGAAATTGCATCGATTAAAGAAAAAGGCCGACAACCAAAAAGAATGTCTCGAGAACTTCGACTTCGACTTCTGGTACTTCGACATTTCCTCACCTCAGAAAAGCTACTTAAAAAGGGAATTTGGGATTGATTTAATTTCGCAAACGATTCGAAATCGATAGAAATTTCTCGAGTTGTCTTCACGACGACTTGCTCGAAAACCTTTGATGCTTCTTGGACACAGGAGGCTTCGTTTGGAATTCGCTGGCACCTACCAATACTGTCGATCGATCATTGGAAACGTGCCTCGCGGAGTGATGAAACTAAGTTCAATTTGTTCAACGGCAATGGCAACTACATCATCAAGAGACCCACTGGAACAGGATACAACTTGGAATACATTCGACAGACTGTCAAATTCAATGGACACAGAAGGCTTTAGTTGACCCTTTAGTGTCTTTAGATGGAATCATAGACAGTGTGAAATATCGGGATATGATGCAAAATGATATGCTTCCTTACGCAAATGTAGCAATAAGTCCAAACTGGCTGTACCAGCAGGATGGGGATCCAAAACATACAAGTGAATTGATGTTTGGAAAAAATTGAAGATCCTATCACGAATTTTCGTGAGATTGCCTGGCTGATTATGCCTCAACAACGTCATTTTGCTGCGAACACGACCCTATTTGCCGGATTTTAACCCAATGAACATTTTTGAGCTCGTGTCAAACAAAAATTGCGATAATTCCGCTTTACGTCAAAAAAAGGAGCCCTGGGACAAGGCTCAGGACATTTGGAGTTCCATTTCACAACGAACCGCAGAAACATTGATCGCAAGTATGCGAAACCGACTTCAAGAGATTTCAAGAGATTGAAAAAGCTAAAGAAGGCTCAACACGATACTGAATTTTGTTAGAAAAAAATCAGCTTTTGAAAAGAAATCAAGAAAAGATTCAAAGACTTTTTTACGTTTATAAATAGTCGATCGAACTTGTAAAGATGTAAAGAGTCGACCTTGTGTTAATTGCGAGTTTCTAACTTTGTTTTATTTAATGAAACAAAAACGAGGCTGAATCCAAATATTTTTGGATACTCAATTTGCTAAGTTTTTTTGAAAAGTATCGACTTTTTTTAGCCACTGACATATGCCCAAGTACAGTCGAACCTCTCTATAACGAACCTCGATATAACGTAAACCTCTCTATAACGTAAGGCGTGACCGGTCCCGGCCGACGTTAAGCTATATAAAACGGCACCCTATATAACGTAAACCTCTATATAACGTAAGCTATAGCCGTCCCGTGAGTTACGTTACGTGAGGTTCGACTGTATTCTCAACTAAAAGCCAGAGCCTAGTCCTTAAGTTTGCTTAGTTTTCTAGTTAAAATCATAAGCAAAAATGAAATTTTACCGTACTCCAAGTGATTCTTCGCTAAGAATATTTAAATAGAATAGTTTCTCTTTCCATTTCCCTTTATCTCTTATATCGTTTTAAACTTAGGTCATTTTTCTCGTAATATTGCTCAAGAGGCTCTAATTATTTGAAATCATTTTTTGTCACCAAAAATTTCTCAATATTCCATTTCAACCGGAAATGAGATAAGAGAAAAAGAATTGTTCGAACAAATAGAAAATTGAGAAATAAAGATGGAAAAGCCACACACTTGACATCATTGGGTGCATCATGATTGGCTAAAGACTCAACACAAGCGATTAGGGAACCCAATTGATTGAATTCAATCCAGACAATCCAATCCAGCCCAACCCAATCCAATCCTATTCCAATTCATTAGAAAAAAATGTCCTTGTCAGTTATATCCACCCACAAAATGCCTTAATTTGTGATTAGATATGAATTGATTTATGAATAAAACTCTTTTGGACCGACTATGACTGAAGAAAAGATATGTGAAAGCTTGATTGATTGCTAGACTTTTCTAGAGTAAATTGAGCAACTGGAAGCTTCTGGAAGCCTACTGTAGGACAGTTTAAATGATGATTTTTAGAATATATGTTTGGGAACAATGTTAAAAGGCTAAACAAGTTTGTTTGGAATTGGAATAGGAATAGGATTGAATTCCTATTCCTATTCCAATTCCAATTCATTAGAAAAAAAAGGTCCTTGTCGGTTATATTCACCCACAAAATGCTTTAATTTGTGAGCATTTCTTCTTTCGTTTCTTCGTTCGCTTCCTCTTTTGTTTCCTCGATCAATTGTAATCTAAATCTTTTCTTAGATTGTATATTGTACTTATTCTCTGCACTTATTGCACTGAGAAATTCTATAAGCTTTTTTGAAAATGTAGTTTATGTGAGGATCAAATTTTAGAGAGGGAACTAACAGTATACCAAGATCTTTTACAGGATCATCGGCCAATCCTTGTGGTAATTGTAGGTGCCGCAAATTTAAAGGGATATGTACGAAAGGGATGAAAAGGGATATGTACGAAAGGGATATGTCTAATGGACGAAATGTAACGTGTTTGCATTTGTCCGGCGCAATGCAAAGTTTCCAAAATTTTGTTTTATTTTTTTAGAAACTATGTGAAATTTAGAAGATTCTTTCTTAGGGATCAGCTCAATTTTGGGGTGCTTTAAAGGGTGAAATTTTCGTTCGCCGGCTGTGAGTCGATTTTGAGAGTAATTTGCATTGAAAAGGAGCCGAGTTTGACTCTCGCAGCGGACTTTAAAGCATAAAATTTATCATTTATCGAAAAATACATAGACATAACATAGTTACCTAGAATTTTGTTGATTATCTGCTTGAAATTTGCCTCAAATAATCAGGAAAATCAAAGAATTTCCGAAATTTCCTTCCTTTTCGCTTTTCTTTGACGGAAAATTTTCTGCTTTCCGCTTGCAAATGTTTTATTTCAATAAAACTCACCTTTGAAAGCATATTTGTAAAAAAAAAAACTGGTATTCAGATAATGTGTAATCAATAGCCTAATAATATGTTGAAAAACACGTGTTTCAGGGCATAAAATGGCACATATTAGGTTGATGCAAAAGTCTTTTTCATTTTTTTCGTACTTCTGTTAAAAAGTAACAAATTCACGAATTAATCTATAGTTTGCTCTATAAAAAAAGTGTTTTTTTTGTTCAATTTCCCATCTTTTTAAATGAATTTCGGTTCGACTTTCAAGCAAATTCGAGAGTGAAAAACGCCTTTTTCGTAAAAATCTATAAAAAAAACTCTACGGAAAAATTGGCTGAATGAATTTCTCTGAAATTTTGGCGAAATATCAAACGTTTTTTTTCTCTATCTTTTATCTATTGACACGAAGATAGGTTTTCTTTAGCTAAGGTGTCTAAACCGCATCATCGAGTTAGCCCTTTTTGACTACCCGACTTCATACTCTCAAGAAAATCCAGGCATTAAATATTTTTAAACCCGTTTTAATGTTATTTTGTAGAAAAATAATTGGTTTTTCTAATGAAATCAACCGTAGTTTAATTCGTGCATTTGTTGGCTTGAAACGGCAAACGAAAAAAATGAAAAAGACTTTTGCATCAACCTAATAGTATAGAGGAAGGAACAAATAAACACCGATTTCACAAGTCACATCATTTTTTGTTTTGGCAATCGAGTAACTGCAAAAGAGAAAAGAAAAGAGAAAAGAAAAGAGAAAAGAAAAGAGAAAAGAAGAATTTTCAGTCTATAATGAGAAATTTGTGAGCATTGCAGTTTACTATGTTGTAAACAAAAAAATAATACAACGTATTGAAAGTTATGTGCTTTAGATGCTTAGACAGACAATGCTTTGAGTATTTGCAAAATGTTGAACAATAATATGTTGAAAAACACGTGTTTCAGGGCATAAAATGGCACATAGTATAGAGGAGAGAACAAAATAACACCGATTTCACAAGTCACATCATTTTTTTCAACATATTTGAATTTGCTGATCAACTAAAGCTTAAAATTTGAATATAAGTTTAGCACAGGTTTTGATAACAGTCGAATCTCGTAAGTAAACTAGGAAAGAATCAGGGAAAAAAAATAACCAAATTACTATTTCGGATCCTGATCCTAATTCACTAAAGAGGTTTAAGCTGAAAAACTAAAAGAGTGTTTTTGAAAACATATCTACTAAGGTTCGACTGTATTTTGGAAGCAAACATATGCAACGTACAATATAATCAGCACTACACTATGCCAAAAAATACTGTAAACCGTAAATACTGTAATGTAACAATAGTGTAATCCGTTTTCAAAAAAGATTGCTGATTTGAGGAAACTATTGGAACCTTCTCTCCAGATTTTTGAAGATTGCCCACCTTTTCGAAAACGTATTACTCGCAATGAAATGAACTTTGAAATGAATTGAGGAGTCTAAAAGATAGTGATCATCGAAATGTCGTTCATTTCGATTTTCTCCCACGGAATCTCGTATTCGAGAGGTCGAGAGCGTCGAATTTCCCGGATTGTTCCATTTTTGCGGTAAATCTAAAAATGAAATCAAGATCAAGCTTTGAAAATTTCATTTTCACATATTCATGACGAGGTTTTTTTGATTATTTTCCTTCCAGCTCGTCTAAAAATGTTCACAGGCAATCGATTTACTTAAGTTAGAAGTGAAAATGAAGAGAAATGTTTGAGGATCATTTATCTCGAAATTGTTTGAAAAAATATTGGCTTTGAAGAAAGTTATGAACCTTTGAATGCAAATTAATTCCCGGATCACCAGGATTTATCATGCTAAAACATTCTGAGCTTTCTTTAAACTCAAGATTTCTTTAATCTGTTTTTAGATGAATGATCCGTGAACATTTCTCTTTATTTTGACCTCTAACTTGAGTAAATTCGTTGCCTGTGAACGTTTTTCGACGAGCGGGAAGGGAAATAACTTACGCAAGATCAAAAAACCTCATCTTGAATGTGCTAAAGTAGCTTTTGTATCCCCAGTCGACTTTCACGCACCTCTTGTTGCCCTATTGCCCAGAGATTCCCGTCTCGATCGACCGTAATCCGACGAAGCGGGATCTCGTTCCGGATTCGGTAAAGTAAATACCCGGACTTTTCTGGAAAACTCAATTTCAACTTGCTTTTGATTTCGAATTTTCTACCAGCCAAAACACCAAGCATCCTCCCGTCATTTCTCAGCATCCACAACACTCGCGAACAGGCGGTGATTTCGATGATCTCTGAGAGAGTCACTTCCTCGACGATCACCTCACGCCAATCTAGGAATTGTATTTGGAAAGTTGTTCGGCTCGGTGCTTCATAAATCAAAATGTGAGTATCGAAATCGTATGTGATATAGTATGTGATATAATATAGATTTTAAAGATCACCAAGAGGCTCACCAATTTTGTAGATATCGACCGCATTCGCGCATTCTCTCACCAATAAACGATTGCATTTCGTGAGCGCCCACACACGATTTCCACTCGAAATGCAAAGGAGACGAATTGGCCATTCCGAGGATACCTATAAAGTTATTTATCTATTAGCTTGGTAAATATGAAAGGTTATTTTTTACAAAAAATATTGCCCTCTCGTTACGAAGAACATTCGCTGTCTAGGATTTTTCTCAATAATATGTCAAAATGTGCTCATGTTTTTTTTGCAAAAACTTTTTTGTTTTGAACAATATTTGTATTGTTTCAGCTCGGCAAAGATGGATAACCAAAAATTTAAAATCAGGGCCGCCATTTTCTTTGAATTCAAGTTAAACAAGAAAGCTACGGAATGCCATCAGAACATTTGTACTGTTTTTGGAGAAGCTGCTCTTACTTACAAACAATGTTGTGTTTGGTACGATCGCTTCAAAACGGGAAACGAGTCATTGGAAGATGCACCACATGGAAAGCCGCCGATTACTTTGGACGATCAGCTGTTACTGAACGAGGTCGACTTGGATCCATCGCAAAAGTGTAGAAAATTAGCAGAAAAGTCCGGATGCACTCATGTTACCATTTACACGTTCTTGGGAAATAATATCGAAGCGGGAAATGGCTCTCCAATACCTCACTGATGCCCACAAAGTCACACGAGTCACCTTGAGCACTGTTCTTCTACGTAAAGCTAGCCATCGTGACTTTTGGAAGTATTTTTTGACACCTGATGAGCCTTGGCTTTCGTATGAAAATATTCAACTCTATGGAGTGTGGCTGAGTTCGAAGCAGACCTCTCATCCTATCCCGAAGCCTCCGAAAAAGTTATGCTTTGTGTGTGGTGGAATGCTAAGGGATTGGCTCATTTTGAAATATTAGATAAAGGAGACGTTGTTGACGGAAGACTTTATGCAGAACAAATGGGTCGAGTCAATCCAGCATTGAGGAAAAAGAGGATCGATCCATCGAAGGTCAGATTTCTTCACGACAATGCTAGGCCTCACATTTCAAAGATCGTCCACGAACAAATCGTTGAGTTGAGCTGGAAACTTCTTCCACACCCACCATACAGCCCTGATCTAGCCCCATCGGATTACCATCTCTTTCGGTCAATGAAACAAGCAGTTTCTGGACAGCAGTTCAAACAAAAGCAGGACATCGAAAATTGGGTTGCCAACTATTTTGCCTCTAAAAATCTTCAATTTTACGAGGACGGTATTCGTGATTTGGGGCAACGTTGGAAAGAAGTTATTAATGCTTGTGGTGAATACATTTGATTTTGAAAGTGCTTAAATAAATTTTTCTGTTATTTTAAAAATGATCAAAAAAATAACCTTTCATATTTACCAAGCTAATATAACTTTATGTTAAATTTTGATTATAAACATGTTTCTGCTAAATCTATCCTCCAAAAACTCACATGAAACCAATCTTGTCCTTGTGGGCCAGCTCGACAGCATCCCAAACGCACCAAAACATCACCCGACTTCGTGATCACCCATGTTAAAATCTAGATCAGAATATTTACAAAAAAAAAACTAACCAACCATATCATTATTTCTTGATACATGAACACTTTCTGCGGGAGGACAATCAACCCGTATCCATGGACCCGATGTCTCGAATACTCGTTCGCGTTGCCAAACCCGTCGACGTGCACTTGCCTAGATTGAGTAACCTTTTAAAAAAATTTGTTTTATCTTTGAATTGTAGCAAATTCAAAGCCAAAATGCTTAACACATAACAATCTATAGATATAATAAGTTTATCTAAAAGTTCCGAGTTTATCTAAAAATTTAGTCACCTTTTTCTCAGCCACTCCCCATTCTCCATCCAATCTCACTCCAAATTCCCAATCGGATTTGAGTTTCCACTCCAAGTCCGACCACGTCCACCCTCTTGGCAATCTATTGGGTTGTCCAGTTATAAATGCGCGTTTTTACGATTTTGTAAATTTCTCAAGGTCTCGAACAGATGTACATGAGTGTTATATATCATTCGAAAGCTGAAGATCTTCTCTACATTTTGGAATAAAAAAGTTTTTGAATTCATTCAACTTTTTGGGAAATTGACTGCACAAAGGGAGAAGTCGTTTTCAAAAAAAAACCCATTTCAGCTTAGCTATTCCTCAAGTTTTATGGTGTAAAATAACCGCCCAGAAAAGAAAAAAAAAGTAAAGATGATCTGAAATTGTTATATTTAAAAAAAAGTTGTATTGATATATCTATTGACCAAACATCAAACGGTTAACTCAATTTGAGCGGAGCCAAAACTTGATCGAAAGGCACCCTTCCATTTTTTGGCCACCTCTTCTTCTGGGCAGTCAATTTGCCCAAAAGCTGAACAAATTCAAAAACTTTTTATATCAAAATGTAGAGGAGATCTTCAGCTTTCGAATAATACTCATATATATCTTTTTCTTGATTTCGGTATCTTGAGAAATTTACAAAATAGTAAGAAAACGCGCATTCATAACTGGACAACCCAATAAAAACAACTCTTAACATTAGCTTAATCAACATTAACCTCATCGTTTTATCCTTTTGTTTCCCAAATAAATCACACCATGCATACACATTCCCACTACAGCCATCGAATGGTAAAAAGCCGCGAAAAAACGCGTACTTTTGATGCTCAACTTAAATTCGAATTTACACATTAAGATTTAGCATAAACAACTCAGTGTCTCAATTTGTGCATCATATTGTTTATATGTGTATTCCACTTCTTCATCCAATGGATCATAACGAGACTCGAGAGCGTAAACATGGCCGGCCTGTGAAAGAAAAAACATTTGCTTACAATGAAAGGTTTAAAGTTTACTTAAAAAAATAGAGATAATAGAGAAACTTAAAAGAGTCTGGCTAGAGATGATAATGAAAAATTTGATTTAACTGCTTAAATATTGTTTTCAAAGAAATCTCACCGACGTGATCGCCCACACAACCCGTTCACTGCCTGCAGAAATATCAATGAAATGTCCGGGAACGAGAAGAGTTGGAGCCGAGTCAAGGGAAACGGGTATTTGCTAAAAATGTTTGATAAATTGCTAATGATATTGTTTACCGTATTATTCTTATCGGCTCGCATTTGACTGATCACATGACAGCGAGGCGTTCCATCGTCGAGAATGGAAAAAGCCCATTGAGAGCGACGATCTCGTGGAAGAAGGACGGCACAGCGACGGATTTCCTAGGAGAATTTGGATTTTATCTATGAATATATCATTGGATATATCGTTGGATATCATTATATCGTTATTTAAATAGACTAACAACAACCTTAGGGGTCTTAAGTTAGCAAAAAACGTTCAAAAACTGTTTTCTTTCTTTTCAAATTCTTTTTTGAAACTTACTTGACTAATTTTGCATTTAGCAACTGTATTGACTAAAGCGTTTTCGAAAAAGTGCCATTTTTCGAAAGCTATCGTAATCTTGCTTTGGTTTTATTCAATTTAGCTACTTTTTTTGTGATAAAAGATCGAAAGAAGGAAAAAGTAGACAAATCGAATCCAACTAGAGATAAGATTACGATAGTTTACAAAAAAATCTTACAAAACATCTTATAAAATATCTTACAAAACATTAAACACACATTTTAGAGCACAAATATTCTTTCGCCAACCTTTTCCAATTCATGTATCCATTGAACTCTTTCATCGTCTGTTGAGAAACCGATTCGAATCAACGAACTGGACGACAGTGGTCTCATCGATACGCAAATTGCGGGTTTTGAAGAAGAAATTGGATAAATTGCGCACAACTAAAGGAAATCATTTTTATATTCAAAAAATTTCAATCCTCACATCTTCCAACGGTCTCCGATAAACGGTTCCTCTTTTTAGTGTGACATGGATCTCCGTGTCACTCAATTGAAAAACCCCTTCCGACCAATTGAGAAGACCTAAAAGAACTACCGTAAATACTGTAATAGTCGCCAATCCCCTCGTACAGTCGCGTAGTCGCAAAAGTTTTTTAGTATTTCAGTTGATAGGTTGATATTTTTTCAAAGCGCCTGTACTTTCAAAAAATGCGTCTTTGATATCAAAAAATAGCTGAAATTCAGGGCTATTTTTTGAGACCTAAGCGTGCATTGTAGCATAAACCAGTGTCGAGAAACACTCGTTCAAAGCTAGACTACGCAACACTCCGCACCGTCATGATGGGGATAGGGTACTATTACAGGAATGACGGTAGGTAAAATACTCAAATTCTTTTCACCTGTATTTGCAATAATTGCAGCCACTCTTGTCTCTAGTCTCCATTTTTGATCATCCGTTCTCGCGAAATTCTCTATCTCTGGTCCATCGATTGATTCTTGGAAAACACCCCAACAACGGTCATTCATCTCGCGGAGTTCGGAAATAATCTGGACAAATTGTTGGGTAAATTAGTGGAAAATGATTTTAGCTTGAAATGGGTTAAAAGATTGCATCATAATGGATCCTCTCATTATGATGCTTTCTATATTCTAGCGTAATCTAGTGCTTTATGGTACCATAAAGCTGCTTCATTCTATCGTAACCTAATACTTTTCTGGTTACGGTAGCTTTGATCTATTTACTTACCTTAACCCTCCATTGTGCATCACGAATCTGCGAGAGATCGAGAGTGGACGGGGCAAAATTCTCGTCAATCCACGCTTTCGGGATGCGTCGATGAGTGAAGCTCACCGTTGAGGCGTCCACCTGAAAAAAAAAGCCATAACAAAACATGAAGTCACTATTGTTTCTGATCACTTGTAACATTCGATTTTCTCCATTTCGATGCACCATCGGCGTCCAAATTTTCCCATATGGTTCCTCGGGGCAAACGCCCGTTCTCACATGTAGCACTTCCGTGCCATTTGCGATTGCGAACACCTGTAATGTTAATTTAGTTTTTAATTTTAACAATCTTCATCTTTAACAATCTTTATCAGTTCATATTGTACGATTTGAATTTACCTGATCATTCCGCGAACAACTCATCCGGCACATCGCTTCACCGGCTTCTCGGAAATTCGTTTGCGTCAAATGAATGCCTTTGTGATCGACGCTCACATTTGAAGTGAAGATCTAATAGTTTTATTTTTGAGTCTAATATTGATAAAACCTTTGCTTCAACAGAAACAATCCAAAGTGATGTGTAGCCAAGAGCAAAGCCAGTGATCGGTTGAGAACCGGGTAGATTGATCTGGAAAGGAAAGAAATAAAGGTGAATTGATCTGGAAAGGAAAGAAATAAAGGTGAACTACTTCTAGGGATCTTGAATCTTAGTTGAACAGTTGATCAGGCTAAAAAGTCATTATATAAGTATTGCAACGGGAAATCGGTTTTACTATTAGAACCAGCTCTGACTCTGGATAAGTTCTGGTAGCTCGGTTTAAGCATTTGAAAGGTTGTTATTTGAAAAATAAAAAATTCACCAATTTCACCTATGGTTTTCTCTAAATAAAAAGTGTTTATTGTTCAATTTCCCATCTTTTTAAGTGAATTTCGCTTCACTTACAAGCAAATTCAAAAGTTAAAACACGTGTTTCTCGTAAAAATCTATAAAAACCACTACGAAGAAATTGGCTGAACGAATTTCTCTGAAATTTTAGGTATATACCTAAATTTTTATGCTCTATCTTTTATCTATTGACACCAAGATAGGTTTCCTTAGCTAAAGTGTGTCTAAACCGAATGGGGCCAAATGGTTAGTAAAGAATGAGTAAGAAGGGGAAAAGTTTCGTTTTCAAAAGCAAAAACCCCCAAAGAGCCGCAAAAACGAGGCCACCTATTTCATAATGAAATACAAACATCAGCCCGTTTACCTAGTCACAATTGGAGCAAACTAACTGACTTTAGGCTCCCGAAAAAATCCAGACATAAACATTTTAAATTTTAAATTTTAAACCCGTTTTAATGTTATTTTATAGAAAAATAATTGGCCTTTCTAGCGAAAAAAAAAACCGTAATTCAATTGATGTATTTGTTGATTTTAAACGTAAGTACAAAAAGTAACGAAAAGATTTTCTGGACAATCTAATAGATACCGCAAATACTGTAATAGTAACCCATCCCCATAATGACGGTGCGGAGTGTTGCGTAGTCTAGCTTTGAACGAGTTTTTCTCGACACTGGTTTATGCTACAATGCGCGCTTAGGTATCAAAAAATAGCCCTGAATTTCAGCTATTTTTTGATAACAAAGACGCATTTTTTGAAAATACGGGTGCTTTGAAAAAAATGAAATACTAAAAAACTTTTGCGACTACGCGACTGTACGAGGGGGTGGGCGACTATTACAGTATTTACGGTAAATGTTTTCTAAACCCCTTACCGGCATCCATCCCCTTCCATGGGGTCTTTCGGGTGTCATTCCCCATCTCGCATACAATCTTCCATCCCATGTCAACACCAAGAGACAACGATGCGCTGCCGAGGTGCCTAATGCTGAGATATCCTCGAAACCTCCGTCTGGAAAATTTCTCAATTTTGCATACGTTTTTTTCTTTTCCTTTCATTTACCATTCGATGAAATCCCCTCGATTTGACCCCATTTTGATCCCTCCGGATTATTCCTACAGACACCCTCTCGTCGATAAATTCTCCCAAATTCCGATAAAGCAAACAAATCAAATGCTCCCTGAAATTGGTTTTTCTTATACCTTTCCACCATTTTATCAACTCACCTCACTTCCCGATGCGAAATTCCCGGCGCAAAGGTCGAGAAATTTGTGCTCTGAATTTGTCATCGCCATCTAAAATTAAGCTTTGTTGCTTACAGTTATTTTTCAAAAAGGCGTCCTAAGTTAGGGTATATGGTTTTCATCATGATCACTCAATGATCTTGGTGGTAAGGATCATCATCGGACAGTGAGCGGACTCGAACCCTCGACTCTCCGATTGGGAGGTAAACGAGCTAGCCACTACACCAAAGTGCGACTGGTTGGAGGGGAGGAGAAAAAGCGACCAAAAGAGGGCTAACTGTTATGCATTTTGTAATGTGTTTTTCGATTAGATATTATTAGTTATGGTAAAAATTATTAGATCTATTTTTTAAAGAAAATATAAAGAAAATAAAAAGAGAATATATTTATGCTACAGCATTGATCAATTTTTGATAAGTTGAATTTTTAGGACAAAAATATCTGATGGATTATATGTTTTATATGTAAAATCACTTGTATCCAGTGTTCGATGGCCACAAATCTCATTGTTCTTTTGAAAAGTCGTCTCCGAACAAAAGAAGTTGACTTTTGAGAAGATGTCCAGTCGATCGAGCGCCCGAAATTTAGTCCGTACTCCCAGCCCTAAAAATTGGCCTTGAAATTTTCGTTTATTTCAAGTAATCTTCTAGATTGATATTCTTTCTTTCTATTCTTTCTTTCTATTCTTTCTTTCTATTCTTTCTTTCTATTCTTTCTTTCTATTCTTTCTTTCTATTCTTTCTTTCTATTCTTTCTTTCTATTCTCTCTAGTTATTAAACAACTAGGTAATAATTTATTTAAATGATAGTTTCTGTATAGAAATCATTAAGTAAATGGTTTATTCAGTATGGATCCTCTTGCAAAAAAACCCACTTTTAGAGCTTTTTATGTCTAATGTCTATACTTTAAAAACATAATTTCTTGGTTTTAGAATTAACTAGGTACAGTGAAATATTCGACTTTTAATGAAACCTCTTTATCGAATCGCCTTGAATCCTGTGCAACAAGCCACGGTTCTTCCCATCGCCATCCATCTGATCTAAAAATCGGCTCATTTTATTGCGTTTCATTTCTCACCTCAATGAAAACGATTCAAAAGTTAATCGTTGAGTTCCATCATGATTCGAGAAAGTTGGACGATCGGTGGGTAATGTGTGAGAACACCATCCAATCACCGGATACCATCTCTACATTGGGATGGTTTATTGGCTATGGTTTAAATACAGGTTAACATATCAGTACAGTACTTTCATCTTATTATCTACGACTTAATTTGCATATCAAGCAATACCCGAATGCCCGGGGTTTTTACCTGATTCGAATATGTCGTAACGGTTTGTCGAATGGCCAAATGCGTTTGTGTGCTAAACACGTAGACATGCCCGCCTCGATCAATAGCAAAAACGACTTCGGGGGTTGAGGCTAGCTAAAACTCTTTCCAACTTCATGGTACTCTTTTACGTGAATACTTTTATGATATGTACAGGTTCACCGCCGACTCCATGCACAGGAAAATCCTCCCAATCATAGATCTCGTTCGCTTCTGAAACAGGCAATGGGTTTATATGCAAATCCTAGATTACTGTGGATATGCAAATTCTTACCAGGCTTCTCTTTAGAGTTTATTCTTTGTGGTGTACCCGCTTTTGTGACGGCCCATAAATACCCGTGATTCATAAAGCTGTAATTATCCATAACCCTCATTTCCATTTTCATCCAAATCATGTTAAACTTCACCGTGGTATTTTCCAATTTGCCTTGTGAATTACAGATAGATCTATCTTTATTACAGACAATAAGAAAAAAAGAAAACGATAATTCGAAAAGAGCGACCATCACAGGCTATACATTTTTCAGGGTTGGCTATGACTAAGGAATGTTGGTGGAATCATCAAAAAAACATTCGAACTCGAAATTTCAAAAATGAGAATAAAAAGGTGTGATATCACTAAACTATTTCTAGGATAAAAGTGTTGGCATAAATTTCTCATAGGAATAAATACACGATTTTGTCCATAAGACAAAAAAAAGATAAGAGAGATGAAACAAGATGATCAACAATTTGAAAATAGACAAACGCATATGTAGCAACCACAACCGGGCAGAAACGAAGAGTTTTGAGTAAAGTTGTTTTATTTTCCGCCCATAGACGCTTTGTTGGTCTAAAAAGTTTAAGTTATAACCAAAAACATCGTGATGCCTACCTGCACAATGCCGATAATCATCCCGAAAAGGCCAATGGCTGAGGCGAAAATTTCGATGATGAGAATTTTGACGAATAAAGATGGATTGGCGGCATCGGCTAACGCTGCTCCAGAACCGACGATTCCTAAAGTGAAAATGGTAAACTTTTCTCAAAATTTAGATATTAAACGGTTACCAGAATCAAAACGCTCAAAAAACTGACCGACGGCAAGTCCACACACCAAATTCGAGAATCCAACCGTTAGCCCACCACCGAAGATCATGTATCCAGCGGCAAGATTTTTGGCGATAATTTCTCGATCCGCAACCACGTCAAATTGTTCTCGACGGAACTCCTAAATGGCATAAACAATTTAATTTTATAAAAAGTTGGTTATGTTGATTTTAAAATCTACAATAAGAAACTGATGGCCCTCGTTTTGATTTGGAAATTCTTTAACTTTACAACAATTAAAAAAATGAGGATTGTATTGCACTCATAAAAAGTACCGATAGTTTTCCGACAAACACGAAGGCCATGATGATTCCGAAAATGGCGACAGCTTCACAGAAAATAATCGATACCAAATTCTTCGTTCTTATCCTAAATTACAAAAAATCAGGTAAAAGAGATTAAAAACCAACCGTGGGGCTTTAACTCCTCCTCCCAAAATTGATGATCCGGTTGTGAAAATACCCCTAAAAATGAAACAATTAAAAAATAATAAATAACACTCACCATCCAGCACCAATAACTGATAATGACAACGAGGCGGCAACTCCCAATCCAGCCCACATGTGTGGTGATGTTTGTGTCAAGAACCAGGCAATGTCAAATCGGAATCCTTGGCCAGTCAACATGTAGAACAAGGCTAAAGTACACTTTAAAATTATAAAAAAAGACAATGCAACCAACCTGTTCCAATCAGAACAGCGACCGCAATGGTGGATACTACCCCAGTTGTGTAGAGGATCGCCCCCGCCATCTCTGAATAAAAAGGTTTAGTGTATGAAAAGCTAAAAGCAATTAAGGACACAACGAAGATCAAAAACAAAACTAGACCGAGGAGAAAGAAAGCAAAGAACGCAATTTATTAAAATGTATTCTATGAGTTTCAGATATTCAATTGTTCGTTCGAATATTTTATTAGAGCATTTGTTTGAATTTGAGCGAGTTTTGCCTCATTTTCTTCACCCTCAGGTTCAGATTTCAGAACCATGAATCAGCGAACAAAGATAATAAACCGATTTTCAATCACGAAAGCTTCTGATCCTCGAACTGCATATAACCTAGCCAACGTGTAAAATAGCTTCTATAGTGATGAAAAATTTTGGAAAGTTAAAAGAGCCGATAAAACAAGGTAAAGCAATTTTTGATCTAACTTTAATTAAACGAGTAAAGAGTGTATTGGAGAACCGAGAGAAGAGGGCCGGTCTTTGCCCCTTGTCAATATTGGTCGTGCGCCCATATAAAAGCGCAAACAGGCGCCTCCCTGACGCATCTTTTTCACCCGGCCGCCCCCTTTTTTCTCCCAGTCACCCATCAGCTGTGATTAAATTGATTCTGCCAACGGAAAGATAAACTATTTTGGAAACTCTTTCGTAAACTTTGTAGCCGTATGTTGAGAATTTTTTAACCTTTTATTTATCTTTAACTTTCCAAACCCAGTTTCTTGCTTTACTTTTTAATTTATTTGCTTCGCTAAATATGTCATTTTCAGAGCGTTTCAATATCTATATATAGTATCAACTTACTCTGTATGACTTTTGATGCACAGATTGATTACCGGACGAGGTGAGCTTTTTGGTTTTTAATCACAGCTGATGCTGAGACTGCTTAATGGTCAGATTGGTTTTTTTAATGAGAAACTTGACCTACTAGAATATAATTTTGAACACAGTGATAAAGTTTGAAGATCCTCATTCTGTTTTCACCAAAAACTGTTTGTTTGTTTTTAGGAAGAACTTGAATCGGTTTCACTCATTTCTTCCCCTGTACGCATTCCCCCAACGGCAATCGCAAATCGGCGTGGCTTCAAAGTAAAATTTTCTTTTTATTACTAAAGTCAAATTTTAGATGGATCGAAGACAGCGGGAAACAAGCTTAGATGATGATGAGCCAGCCATGGTCCATGTAGACACAAATGGATGTAAAATTTATCCCAAAAATAAATGGTATATTTTTTTATAGCGGGAGCCGTTTCTTTTAATTCTAATGGCATCGACAAAGATCTTGAAGAGGAAGAATCTCCTTTGGACAACATTCCAGCAATTTTCAGGTGTTTTTGCGAACTTTAATAGTGCAATGAACAAGTTTAGCAAATATGGCGATTTTCACACAATAGATTGGCAACGAGATCTGGCCAGGGATCGTTTACGGTATATTTCATATAATGATTTTTGACAACAAGTCATTTAGGCACAAGTTGATAACAAACAAAAAGCGTGACTGGCCTTTAGGCCTACTTGGGGTAATTTAAATCTTATTTGGAGCTTACTGAACAGTGCTTTTTAGAGTGCTTGGGATTCCGGGGCGGGTTGGCTGTGCGTTTTGATGGTTGGAATGGCTGCTGGCGCCACTGCAGGAGTGATCGACATTGGTGCTCGATGGATGAGTGATTTGAAAAATGGTATTTGTGCTGATCGATTTTGGCTCGATAAAGAACATTGCTGTTGGTCTGACGATAAAACGCTATATAAGGTAAAAGCTAATAATTTTGACAAAAGAATTGCAAAAGTTTAGGATGACAGTTGTAGTGCTTGGACGACATGGCCAGAAGTTTTCAATATTTACGAAAAGTCCAACCTATATTACTTTCTCGATTTCTTTTTCTACGTCAGTTGGGCAATGAGCATGGCTGGACTTGCGGTTGTTCTAGTGAAAGTAAGTTTCAAAATATTTTTATGTAAAACATAAATCTAGGTGTTCGCTCCATATGCTTGTGGGTCAGGAATACCCGAAATCAAGTGTATACTATCGGGTTTTGTGATACGTGGTTATCTTGGTAAATGGACATTTATCATCAAGTCGGTGGGCCTGATGCTCTCCACAGCTTCGGGTAAGAGCAAACTTTTAATCTGCAATTTATCATGAATGTGTAGGGCTATCACTTGGAAAGGAGGGTCCAATGGTGCACCTAGCGTGTTGCATCGGCAATATCTTTTCGTATCTTTTCCCGAAATATGGAATGAACGAGGCGAAAAAACGAGAGATTCTATCAGCTAGCGCTGCCGCAGGCGTTTCGGTTGCATTTGGTGCTCCTATTGGTGGCGTTATGTTCAGGTTCGTCTTGATAAAGAAAGTATTAATTACAAACAATTTTTAGTTTGGAAGAAGCTTCCTATTATTTCCCATTGAAAACTATGTGGCGGTCATTTTTTTGTGCTTTGGTTGCAGGGATTATTTTGCGAATTGTGAATCCATTTGGGAGTGATCAGGTTGCGCTAATTTTTTTAAAACAATTAAGCAAAATAATATAGACCTCACTCTTTCATATTGACTACATGATGAAATGGACTTTCATTGAGCTCATTCCTTTCGCCCTTCTTGGCGTTTGGGGAGGTAATCATTCAATATTCTGGTAAAAGAAAGCTAATTTGATTTTAGGCATTCTCGGAAGCATCTTTATCTGGGCCAACATAAAATGGAGAAGTTATTGCAAGAATAGCGCCTTCCTCGGACGTACGTGCATAGCGCTTTTAAAAACTTTTTGATCTTTAGGTCACAATATTAACGAAGTTTTGGTGGTGACTGCCGTGACAGCTGTAATTTCTTACTTTAACCCTTATATGCGTAAAAACACGTCAGCATTAATAAAACAGGTTGTTTTAAAAAAGAAATACAATTTTTAAAAAGAATGGTTTTCTTAGCTTTTTGATCGATGCGGGCCCGACGATGTGACGAGCGATCTATGTGATTATCGAAATCGAACAATTACAACAAGCAAAGTTGACGACAACTATCATACCGGGATTTTTGGAGATGGTGTTGAGGTATCCAGCAAAATAAACACCATCACTTTTGCAATTTTAGACTGCTATTTGGCAGTTGATTTTTGCGCTAATTTGCAAGTTGATCTTCACCGTTTTCACCTTTGGCTTAAAGGTAATTTTCGTAAATATTAAACAACTTGCGTTTAGGTCCCTTGCGGATTATTTATTCCAAGTTTGGCCATGGGAGCCATCAGCGGTCGTTTGCTAGGCATCACTATGGAAGCCCTTACTACATCGCTTCAGGCTTCTGGTGGTCAGAGCGAATGGATGTCTTGTCAAATTGGGAAAGATTGTGTGAGTGTTTTAGTTTCAATTTTCTATATTCTCCAATTTTTAAAGCAAATGCATAAACGTGAAATTTAGGTATATCCTGGTTTATATGCGATGGTTGGTGCTGCTGCAGTTCTTGGCGGCGTTACAAGGTTTTTTTTGTCTTTTTTTAATTTGGAGACAAGATTTTTAGGATGACAGTATCTTTGGTGGTTATTATGTTTGAGTTGACGGGTAGTCTTGAATTTATTGTACCAACAATGGTAGCCGTCATGTTTGCAAAATGGGTTGGCGATGCAACACATAAACAGGTACCGTCTATCTTAACGTAGCAGTAAAAAAAAACACATCTTTTCTAGGGCGTTTACGAGGCGCATATCCAACTCAATGGTTATCCTTTCCTCAACAACAAAGAAGAATACCCTTATTCAACTGTTGCATCACAAGTAAGTTTTTCGACGAATTTCTTCATATTTATTTCTTAGGTTATGAGACCTCGTCGTGATGAACCAGAGCTCTGTGTGCTTACACAAGATGGAATGACTCTAGGCGAAATTGAAGCCCTTCTTCGGGATACAGACTTTAACGGATACCCAGTCGTTGTCAGTCGATCTTCGATGTACTTGACAGGATTTTGCACAAGGTACTAATTTAACTGAAACTAACCATCTATCGCCGTTTTATTTTAGACGCGATCTTCAACTAGCTCTCCATAGTGCGCGCAAAACTCAGCCATACATTGTGACAGCCTCCGTTGTTTTCTTTACTCCTACTGTAAGTGATTTGGCAGATCTCGCAATGTAACCGCTTTTGTAGGTTCCGGATGCAACTTCAGTTGGCGGTCCAGCTCCTTTACGATTGCGCAAGCTTGTGGATTTGGTATATTTCCAAAGTACATCACAAAATAGTTTCATATTTAGGCACCAATGACAATCACCGATCAAATGCCAATGGAGACAATTATTGACATGTTTAGGAAACTTGGACTTCGACACGTAAGCTCAAGTACTTTTGGTTAACATTACCTGCATTTAGGTGCTGGTCACACGAAGCGGGAAAGTGCTGGGGATTATAACGAAGAAAGATATATTGGAGTTCATGCGGCATCAGGAGAGTGGCTTCCCTGGATCTGTCGCAAATCCAAACTTCAACTAATTTTTCAACTTTTTTCCATGCTTTTGTGTTCCATCTTCCTTGTGAAAAGATCCTAAATTCTCTTTGGCCAAAAAAATTTTAGTCAGTTTCAAATTTGGTGCTTTATTTAATATTGTGGGATCATGATTAGAGCTTTTCAACATTTATCCTTTTAGAAAAGTCTTAATTTGTCTTTCTCCCCATCTAATCAAATACGTATCTCTTTCGGCTTCTAAGTTGTTGTGATTTTATTTGAAGTCCGAGATCCAATAGTTAGTAAGTTTTTTAATAAGTGCAACGTTGATCATGTGATTTTGCATTTTCGAGTCTAAATTTGCCATAATTGTAATTTATTTTTGTTAATAAAATGTTCTATAATTTATTTCTGGCGGTCATCAAAAACGTTCAAATCAGTGTTGTACAAATATTTTAAGAGAACGTTTAAAGGTTTCTCTATTTTTTTAGGGATGATACGTAGCGCTAGATTATTAGCTCAGAATGGGCATATAAACTCAACTGAATCGCAGGTGTGTTTGAGTTTTAGAAGCAGAAGAATTTCTTTTCTAGGTTTTAACATTGGGCCTAAAACGACAAGACAACAGTAAGCAACAGAGTCAAACCAAAAGAGGCTAGTATAATTTTTTTGAAGTAAGAACAAGATATTCAGGTAATTACAAAGGTCCCCGACGAATCCGATGGTCACCCGGAGCAATAGGCTTGTTGTCGATTCCAACGGCCGCTTTTGGATTAGGAATTTGGCAGACCTACCGACTACAATGGAAATTAGATCTCATCGAAAATATGAAGTAAAAGCTGGTAGTTTGGCTTATATACCCTTGCTTCAGGAAAAAACTCGAAGAGCCTGGCGTAGCATTTCCAATAGATGAACTGGAGAAATTGCTGGACATGGAATACAGGTTTGTTGATGAGATTGTACAATCATTTGGGTGGTCTAGACGAGTCATTATAACTGGTGAATTTCTCAATGATCGCGAATTTGTCATCACTCCGAGAGGCCGTTTTGACAAATTGTATAAACAGGTGAGTAGTTTTGTTCTAAAAACATAAAGCCCTAATTACAGAAAGATGCTGGTTCTTTACTATCGGATAGTCAAAGCAGCAGTCATGGAGCTCATGTAATCACCCCGTTTAAAATAAAAGGATCCAACTTGGTTATCCTCGTAAACAGGTTTAGTTATTCGTAAATTCTTTAATTTTTTTAAATTTAGAGGTTGGGTGCCCTCTTTGTACGCAAAGCACGCGACACGCTTGAAAACGGATGTTAAGGGAGAAACAACAATTGAAGCCATCGTAAGGTGAGGAATGTTTTTGTTTTTATTACTTTAGCAACATTTAGAAAGACTGAACCTCGCCCGCAATTTATGCAAAATAATCAACTCGACAAAGATGTATGGTATTACCGCAATCATGAAGAGATGGCTGAAAGGTAAACTTTTAAACAGCAACAGGTCTATGAAAGTTTAGATATGGAACAGCTCCAATTTTCGTCGACGCGGTGCTCGAATCTTCTGTTCCCAGAGGGCCGATTGGAGGACAAACGAATATTCGTCTTCGAAATGACCATTTACAATATCTTTGTACGTGGTTTACCCTTTGCGTCGTCACGAGTATGATGTGGATAGGCAGATTTTATAGGTGATAGTTGTTATGCAATCATTTTAGCTTGTTGATCTTGTTTTGTTTTTTAAGTTTGTATGAGAAAAATAAAATTTTTGATCATGTCATAATGAATCATAATAAGTTGAAATTGCTCATTATTTTACTACGCAATAAATAAATTTGGTTAGTATTTAACTTTTTCAGTTTTTGGGAGGTCGACAATGAGTCAGGATGAGCCTGTTGTTGCGCCTGTAAGTTGTAAATTGAGTCAAAAATATAATAATTTTTGTAGATCTACATGGGAATGCGAGAGGATATCGAGATGTTATTGCAACGGTTTGTGGAAAAGGGATCTCCAAGAATGACGGATTTTGCGAAGCTCTTTAAGGTATTTTTTCTTAGTATTCTAGAACAATCTTATTCAGGAAGTCCAATTCTCAAAAATCTTTGCTGGCAGAATTGCACCACCGGAGCTAGTCGAGGTATTTAAAATTTTTTTATTCTGGTTAAACTTATTGTAGTTTTCCGAGCGTCTACTTCAAATGGCCGCCTCCTACATGCATCCGTTTCGTCTTGCCGTTGCACCAACTTACTCAGGAACTGACCCATTTGATCATAACCACGAGAAGCAAATAGAAAGAACTGCTTATGATGCATCTCTAGTTAGTTAAACTTACTGACAATTAAATTAAGTGGTGCTTAGACTCGAACAATGTTGGACCGAATATTTGGTGTCTATTTGACGTACGCTCTCTTCTTCTTACAACCGTCGGATTATGTGGCTCAGGTAAAGGTCCTTGGAAATCAGAAATATGGGTAGCGTAGGTACGAGTGACCCCTGTTCAGCTACTTGAGATCACGCGTCTTCAAAAGGAGCTTATTGTAAGTACTTTGCTATTCTTTTCTAAGCACCTAATTAATATCTTTGAATAATCATTCCAGGAGGAAACTCATTATGACACCGTTGCTGCTTTGCTCAAATTACATGCACATAAGGCCTTTGTACAAATACCATTCACGAGTTCGGTGAATTGATTTCTCATTTCTTTTATAGAAAAATTTTTGTAGTACGATCCCGTGCAGCACAAACGCCTGCAAATTTCTGAAGAGGATTGCTCTGGACAATCAGCAGCATTGACCAGTGATCGTCAAATGAGCGCTATTGAGAGGATTACAAGTGATTCTCTTTTGAAAGTTTGATTTTTCTAGTAGTTAAGTGCAAGTACTCATTTAATTTAGCAACTTGAAGTATTGTCAAAGGCTAGCCGAGAAGTTGACTTTACAAAAGATATTGATGAACTACGAGGGTCGGTCATTTTTATATCAACAAAGAACTTAAACGTTTTTAGAATAGCCATACGGTCACAAATTGATATGATGACAAATGATGATACTATTGTCATTTCACCATCGAAACCATCGAGAATCTCTATAAGGGTTTGTTTTGTTATTACTTACTTCATCCATGTCAATCTTTTTAAAATCGACTTTTATTTTTGTTTTCAGGAGAAAGCATACACTGGGAACATCAAACATAGCAAGAATAGACGCTATGCAAATCCAGAGAACCGTAAGTGCTATGTTTTTTGCTTAATTTTTTTTCTTTTTAGAACCAGGTGCGTTGACATTAGCTCGATTGGCCGATGAAATTGGTCGAGAGGAAGACAATAATGTGAGCTTTGTTTTCTTTATTAAGCTAGTAGTTGTTTTAGGGAGATGTCGAAGACGGACCTACAGTAATTAAGAAGACAAAGGAGTCGTCAAGTAAAAATGTAGTCATTTTCTTAAAGAACCGCAAGCTTTAGATACAGTAACGATTGATGCATTATTTGACGAAACTGGAGATAGTCAAAAGCAAGAGTGAGCTGAATTGATCTTTTTAAAACGGTTTGAATTTTTAGAATTGCAAAGTTTAAAACTGAACTGGAAGTGTTGGAAGCGACCCCCACAAAGAAAGGAAAAGCCAAGCTAAAGCAGCCTAAAATCCGCGATCCAGCATTTGAAGGTTGTGTTCTAAATTGGACTTGCTCTAATTTAAGCAGATTTTTAGTTCTTTCGTTTATTCAATTACCGGTTTAGGCCATATTCGCAAGGTACTCGCTCCAACGGCTCTTCAACGCTCAAATGATCGACTTCTCGAAAAGCTCAAGCGAACGATGAAAAAGAATGATGATGAAGAAGAAGAATGAAAAGGACCAACGATTTATTTAATGATTTCATCAATTTGTTAATTTATTTTTTTATTCGGGCTATATACATACTTTGCTATGTTATTTTTTTTCACAATTTGTTAGTTTATTAAATTTGGTTTTGCATTTTTTTAATCTCAGAAATAATCAAGTTTTAAATTATCTATTTTTCAGAAATTGCAGGAAACTTTGACCCCTTCTTTTATCAGTTTATCTTTGACATTTGACGAAAACACGTTTTGATGAAGTCTGAGGAGGGGATTTTTGCGTTGGCTCGGCTCCAGTCAGCAAAAACTGAAATTTCACCGTTTCTTGCGTGTTTTTGGGAGTAGCTGGGGATGGGTAATAGAAATTGATTAATAGAAATCTTAAGGGCATTTGCCAAAAATATACACAACCCATAACTGACCAGACACTCGTTGTACATAAACTATGAAATTCGAGAGAAAGAGAACTTTGGAAAAGCGTGGTGGTGGCGCGTGTAATCAAAGGTCATTACGAAAATGGGGATCTCTTTTTGAAAGACGAATGATAGCCAGCCTTGAGGGGGTGGAGAGTCTGCAGGAAGGGAACGGAATGAGTGGTGGGGTGATGTGACCCCTTCCCCTTCCCAGACTTGCCCCCATTGACTTCCACCCCCGATTTCGGACCTTGTACTGTCTCCCTTTTTTAATAACCCTTTCTCGGGCATTTTCTCTAAACCAGAGCTTTTTGAGAATTTTTGCGCAATCTTTATATTGTATCTCATAAAGAAGCAATTAAATTAGCATTTATGCTGTTCTAATGACGGCTTCCTACTATAATGCGTACTGTACCGTTTTTGTTTCAGGGTTTTCACAGACGTTCTATCTCGAATCCCAGTCTGTCCACCGTTCCCCGTTCTCTGATGTTGTAACAAATTTTTATGTATCTAGACGAAATCGTTCTCCTTTTCCGAAATGTTTTCGCCCCTAGATTTCATCAGAATGATCGTGGCTTTTTCCCATTCTCGGACGGCTTAAAATTCCCGATTCCTTTGATTGATCAGCCACGCCAAAACCCTCATAAGTCAACAATGTTTCCAGCCATTTTCAAATCCCAATCAAAAAGAAGTTCCTCAAGCCTGATATTTCGGGAGTATTTTGAGTTTTTCTTTGCCCCGTCTTGTCAAAACGAGACACGCAATGGTCACTGATAGCAGAATGAAAAAGCGGGAAATATTTATGGTACACAAAAATCACTCGGAAAAACCCCTGCCATTTGAAGTTAAAATTAAGTGAGTCAGAAGAATTCAATGTAAAATTGATTTCTATTTGAGATCAACTTTATCGATAAGCAACTCAGTACTTAATTACAGACGCACGGGTAAATTGTGCCCATTCTACGCATTTAGAAATCAAGTCATTTTAGAGAAAAGTTGATTTAGGGATTAAAAGAAGCTTCTTTTAATCCCTAAATTCACCAATTCACCCGTGCGTCTGTAATACAGTATCCAAGCAATCCCAAATCAACTTTGGACTCTACTTTTGCTTGATTCTAGATTAGAAATTAGAATCAAGCAAAATTTCGAATCCATTTCTAAGCCATTGTCCAGAATCCAGGCATGGAACAGAATCGATTCCCTGAATACATCAGTTGCACAAGTATCCAGGTTATTTATTGAATTGTGAGTATAACAGGAGAGTACCGTAAATCTAAACAATGACCTTTTTGAGATATTGACAATCACTTGACAATGACAATGGTAACCCTTTTCCTTTTGCGTTTTAACTTGTTGACGGAACGTTTCCAGAGTTTTCTATATGGGTGAAATAGTTGAAATCGTTGTCCCAAGTACTTGGTCACGATTTGGTTATCGACTCGTTTTCGATGACTAAATGGTATTTTTTGTTGCCCTAATTTTCTGAATCAAAGAGATATTGGCTGAGGTCAGGATTTGTGGCAAAAAAAAAAATTACGGAAACGAGAATTCGAGTTGGCATGTTTGTTCGAAAAAAAATCCAGGGAAACACATTGATTCGATCACAATGGATCAAATCGAGAGGGGTTTTTCCTGGACCACGTTTCAAAAAACGCTTTTTTTCACTCCCATTTTTCTCTTTTCTCCTTCGACTTTTGTTTGGAGAATGTACGTGGAAATGAGAGAGGAAAAAAAAGGAAAAAGCGCGCTGATTGTCTCCTTTTTTTTTCTTTTTTCTTCTCTTTACATTTCGGCCATCTGTGTGCATTAAACCCCTCATTTTCCTACACAAACTTCTTCCCTATATTTATCCATTTATCTTATGAAATAGTTATTCAGCTTTCATTTTATTCTGTTTTTCTCAAAATAAAGGTCCAAAGTATCCGTTGTTGATCAGCTTTTAAATAGCTGTCACATTTCTCGATATATCATTAGTTTATAGCCGATATTTTGTACGAATTGTAACCAGTTAACTTTATTCTTTTTCAATTACTTTTATATGACTTTTTATTGTTTCTAATTGAGTTTTTCCTTAAATATTTGATTTATTTCGAAATGATTAGGCAATTATTGAGTGCCCAATTGAAATAGCCATTGGGATTTGCAAAATTTTATTCTTTCATTTTAACGTTGGGAGATTTTCACTTAATTAACTTCACTTAATTAACTTCTTCACTTAATCAACTTCACTTAACTTATTGTTATATTCGTTTTATTTTATTGGCATCACAGATATCAATAGTTTTTAAAAAAAAGTACATTTATTGAAAACCAATAATGTGATACAAACAAAGGATACATAATAAGACATAAAGGTCTAACCACATCTAACAATTGTGGGAAAGGTCTAACCAATTTTATAGCACTGCGGCCGTTACCTCTATTACACTTATTACCCAAATATTGTGAAAGAAAAAACCCACTTGGTGGGAAAAAGAAACATTTTTATCTTGCGAGCGTGATTGAACGCTTAAGAGACAAGACTCCTGGCCATCTGGCCATCTGGCCCAGTTTCTGAGAGTTTCGTTTTTTTCTTTTACTTTGACTACAAGATTACAATGCTATTTTCTTTTGATCTTTTAATGCAATGCTATTTTGGAAAGTTTATATATGTTGTGTCCGATTTAGATTTCCGTTCGATTTAGATTCAATCTAAATCGGACACAACATATATATTTTTTTGTTTTTAAACCCCTTTCAACCTAGTTCATTTTTCAAATCATATCCTATTTTCATTAAATGCAACTTCTTGATCGTAATGCTAGGAAATATTAGAAATCGTACAGACAATGAACAGTCATTTTTTTTTCCTTGGAAATTTCTAAACATTTCCTATAGATATGGGAGGGAGAAGACACGTGAATGACATGTGGAATTGAAGAGAGAAAAAAGGGAAAAAGGCGAAATTGTGGGAATGGAAATGGAATAATTCCCTCATAAATCCGATGGACCGTTTGAACGCAAAAAAAAAACACTTTTAGACCAATAGAATTACGGAGATTTGAGAGTTGTGAATGATTGCTATTCCTTGTAATCCTTATTCTTGTTTGAAATCAAATTTCTGATCTTTGATTCACTTGAAATCGTTTTCTAAATGATGAATAATTTGAAAAATTTAATTTGTTAGATTTAATTTGATTAGTTTGATTATATTATATTTGATTAGTTTAAGCTTAATTTTAATCTCATTCAATTCACAGTTTCATTTCTTATCGAATATCGAATAAACTACCGTAAACACTGTAATAGTACCCCGCCGACCTCGTACAGTCGCGTAGTAGCAAAAGTTTTTTAGTATTTCATTTTTTGCAAAGCACCCGTACTTTCAAAAAATGCGTCTTTGGGTATCAAAAAATAGCCCTGAATTTCAGCTATTTTTTGATACCTAAGCGCGCATTGTAGCATAAACTAGTGTCGAGAAAAACTCGTTCAAAGCTAGACTACGCAACACACCGCACCGTCATTATGGGGATAGAGGGTACTATTACAGGAATTTACGGTAGGTAGAATGAGGAAAAGCTGAAGGATAACTGTAGCTTTCTAAATTATCCATCTTCTAGAAAACAGATTATGCTCTGATCATAATCATCACCTTCGTTTAATGTTAACTTTTAATGTTTCTGTCTTCTCGTTTCTTTCAAAAGATTCCCCTCAATTCCAGCTATGACCAAAGCATCACCGTCAAATCCGCTCTCCGTTCAGGTAATGTAAATTTGATTAAAAAAAGATCTCAAAATTTTCAGGTGAGAAAATGGACACACAAATGGAATCAAACGAGACGATTCCCTCTCGACAATCCCATATCAGTCGGTGTTTATTTGAAGTTGAAAAAAGTTGAAAAAAGTATCGTTTCACCGTTAAAGATAGATCGGGGGCTCAGGACATGGTTTATTCGACACGATAATCACAATATCTTAACTTAACTCACGCCTACATTCTCTCTCTAATCTCTACTCTTATTGGCAAATAGTTGAAACTAGCCCAGATCAAAAATCAAAGACCGAGCCGGGACTCGCCTCGCCCTTTTGCTTACCAGGCAACTGTGCTAACCATTACGCCAGAACGCACATAAACTCCGTTACTCCAGAGGGAGTTAACTTAATCCCTAGATAGCTTTTTCTGATGGTGAAGAGAAGGCGAAAACGGCTGGATAGGCCGCAACCGATCCACTAGGGAGCCGGATCGAACCCGGCCTTAATTCCAGAGACAGCCACACTGTCGTTGCACCATCCCGGCGTTAGTCTGACTATTAGCATTATAAAATTCTTACAATTAGAGTCAAATCAATCTTACTGTAGCAAAAAAACTCATCGAGTGGTCTTTCTAGAAAGAAATTGATTCTCTTATGAACAGAATTCTCATTTCTACTTCGTATTTGTTTGTTGAATTGTCACTTAGAGGTCAACCACGCACATCGGCTCTCCCATCAACGGATTCACAAGCAAGTGTCGGTGGACATTCGTCGGATGGAGAAAAGGGTGTCTGTTTTGAGGTAAGTCAAAGGGAAAAGATCGACAAAAATCAAAAATCAAACAGATCATATGTCTAGATCAAAATCTATCCATTAAATAAAGTACACAGGATTGTTAAGGCTCAATCTCTACAGTAATTTGTCGGTTTGTCGGCTTTAACGCGATTTTTCTTGTTCACAAAGCGGAAAGCTCTGAAAGAACGTCGAAAATTTCTTGAATTTCTTGAATTTCTATAAAATTACCGTAAAACATGCTTGTAGTAACTCTATTTCATCTCTAGAACTTTTCTAAACACTCGGCTTTTCTAGTCACTTTCTTTTCCCGTTGGCTCGCTTGCTGTTCTAGGGGCCGGGAGAGTACTTCCCCCGCTGCACGAGAAGATCAACCGGTGAGGAAAGAAGTTGAAATATTTAGAATAATGCTTTTAGAAATATAAAAATACAAATCTTCTTTTCAAAAACATTTGATAAAATATTGCAGACGAATCAACGATGGAACCCCATTTTTCTCACTCGAGTTCTTCCCGCCGAAAACCGCTAATGGAGTCGCGAACTTTTTCACCCGTTTGGATCGGTGAGTTTTGAGATTTTGAATTTCTATAATTAGACTAATCTATTGCAATAAATAGAATACAGTCTCCATAACGGAATCGAAGGCACCAAGAAATGTTTTCCTTATATAGAACTTTCCATTATATAGAGTGCCGTTTTATATAACTTAGCTTCGGCCCAGACCAAAATTCCATTCCGTTCTATAGAGTTTTCCGCTATATAGAGTTCCGTGATAGAGAGAGTCGACTGTATTAAACATACTAAACATATTAACATATAACATTAACATTAAACATATAACAGTCTTTTAAATTTGGTTTTCAAAAGTTTGCTTTTCGTATGCTGTATTAGAATGACATGTCATTCTATTTTTCAATACCCCCTAGGGTGTCATTCTATTAGAGGGTGTCATTAAACATTAAACATTAAACATTAAACATTAAACATTAAACATTAACATTAAACATTAAACATTAAACATTAAACATTAAACATTAAACATTAAACATTAAACATACAAATTAGTTCCATATGAAGCATATCTAAAGTCGGAAATTCCGCTTTGTTTCTATCGGAAATCTAAGCGGAAAAGCACTGAAAAGCAGTATTTTGTATGATTTTCAGTTTCAATGAAGGTCTACCTCTCTTCGTTGACATCACATGGCATATGAACTCGGATCCCGGTGAGTTTAAGGCTTTCATTGAGTAAAGAAATTTCACAACAAAAAAATCCTTTTAGCAAACATGCAGAAGGAGACCTCTTCGTCATCGATCGCTCTCGGAATCATGAACTATTGCAGGTGAGAGCATTGAGATCGTGTAGATAAATCTCGCATAGATTATCGAAAGTAGAGGCAGACTAGACATGTAACTGATTTCTCTTTCACTTCCCCCTTGTGTTTCCCTCTTTCTCTTGGCAAGTTTAGGTACTGAATAGCTCAGTCATTAGAGGGTAAAGCTCGGAAAGCAAGAGGTCGAGGATTCAATCCCCTCTCAGGAACTCGATTTTTTTTCTTCACTTTTTTATTGTCAACCCAGCCCAGCCTGTTCTATCCTGCGAGCTGTCCGGACCGGGCTAAAAATGAAATTTCAGCCCATATCTAAAACAAATTGAATTGACAAGTAGAATGCTGAGATCTGGAAATAGAAATTTAATAAGGTTTAGGCCATGGTAGAAATCGAAATAGAAATAAAAAGATAAAAAATCCAAATCACATCACTTGGCCATGTGAAAGCTAGGTGAGAGAATCGTGGATCAGATTTCGATTGAATTGAAACAGGATTGAAACAGGATTGAAACGGGATTGAAACGGGATTTAAACGGGATTGAAACGGGATTTAAATGGAATTGAAACGGGATTGAAACGGGATTGAAACAGGATTTAAACGGAATTGAAACGGGATTGAAACAGGATTGAAACGGGTAAACGGGATTGAAACGGGATTGAAACAGGATTGAAAAATTGCAAAATTTGGCAAAATAAACTTATTTGACTCAAGAAAGGATTATTTTTAGATTTAAGAAATCAAAAATAAAAGAAAAAGAAAAAGATTTCCTGTCTTTCAGAGTGGAAACAATGCTTCACATGACGTGTGTTCAATATTCAAAAGCTCAAACCGTCCGCCATTTGGCTCAATCGAAGAAATACGGACTTCGGAATATTCTGGCTCTTCGTGGCGATCTTCCGCCATCAGTTTGACTTTTTGGAAATCCTTGTAAATCAATTTTTGCCAGGAAACTTCCTCAGAAGAGTGCCAATATTTGTATCGTTATCGTGCCCTTGACATGATTCGATGGATTCGAGAGGAGTTCGGCGATTATTTCACCATCGCTTGTTCAGGTGCAAAGCTGAGAGATTTGAATGCTATTGAAATCTATATTTAATGCAATGATATATTGAAATGAAGTATTTTTTAGGTTACCCACTCGGTCACCCGGATGCTCCCGTTATCGAGCCGATTTGATGTATTTGAAAGCAAAGGTTAGCGTCACAGAATTCCAGGATCATCGATCGATAGATTATTAGCTTATCCTCTTCAGAAATCTCCTTTCTCTTGTCTATTTCTTCATTTCTTTATTATTAATATATGTGATTCGGATTTTCAAGTAAACCCACGGTTCCTTTTTTCTTTATTTCTTCCTTCTTCCCTGTTGTCTTTCCCTTTTTCTCCTTGCTAGCTAACGTACCAGATAGCTCAGTGGTTAGTGGCTAGAGCCTGGGAGCAAAGGGTGGAGGTTTCTATCCCCTCTCCCGAAATCCACGGTTCCATTTTTCTTTATTTCTTCCCTCTTGTCTTTCCCTTTTTCTCCTTCCAAGCTAAGGTACCAGATAGCTCAGTGGTTAGTGGCTAGAGCCTGGAGAGCAAAGGGTGGAGGGTTCAATCCCCTCTCTCGAAATCTCTTTTTTTTCTTTCAAAAACAATATTTCCAGGTGGACGCGGGTGCTCAATTCATCGTCACTCAGCTTTTCTTCGAGGCGGAGTCTTTCGAGAAATTTGTGCGCGATTGTCGAGAGATCGGCATAACGTGTCCGATCATTCCAGGAATTATGCCAATTATGGTTTGTAGCAAGTTATCTAACACTGAAATAGTGCAAGACTTCTGAATAGTTCAAGACTGTCTATTTGATCTAATACGATTCCACTTTAAACGAATAAACCTAGTGATAGTAAACGGTGTTATCATCTTGATTTTGTGACTTAATCCTAGAGAATGATTCCTAAATAAAGTTCTGCAGGGCTACGAATCAATTCGTCGTATCGCCACGTTGTCGCAATTGACGATTCCCGAATGGATTCTAAATGATCTTGAGCCGATTAAACACGACGATGATGCGGTTAGGAAATATGGAACGGTGAGTTGAATTGGAATAGAAAACAAGAGACAACAGAAAACAGACAACAGAAAACAAGAACTCAATTCTCTATAGTATTTATATAATAGCCTAACAAAACTTTCGAGTTTTATCGAAAATTTAGGTAAAAGCGATCGAGATGTGCCGTCGCTTGTTGAGCAATGGATCGGCGAAATGTATCCATTTGTACACGATGAACAGAGAGGGAACTTGTCGGTGAGTTTAAAAAGGGAAATGTAGACTGAATCTAAATCTAAATCTAAATCCAAATCTAGATCTAAATCTAGACTTAAATCTAAACCTAAATCTAAATCTAGATCTAGTATCCTCTATGAAACGTTCTTTGTGCTCAAAAATAGAAAAGCAGCCCTTCTAGTGTGCTCAAATTACCTCAAATTGCTCATATTTGCACTCAGCTTTTGCCAAAAGAGAATCGAGAAATTGAGTGCACTAGAAAGGATGTTATTACACTTTTTGAACACAAAGAACCTCAGAAAGAAGAAGCTTTCAGTGAAATTCTTCAAGAACTAGGACTGTGGCAGAAGAAACCGATGCGAGCACTTCCATGGGAACCACACGGAGGAAATCATCCGATTAGGTGAAAATGATAGAGAAATTTTGATTTACTTTTAAATCTAAAACTAAATAACTACCGTAAATACTGTAATAGTCGCCCACCGCCCTCGTACAGTCGCGTAGTCGCAAAAGTTTTTTAGTATTTCATTTCATTGCTTTTTTTTCAAAGCACCCGTACTTTCAAAAAATGCGTCTTTGGTATCAAAAAATAGCTGAAATTTAGGGCTATTTTTTGATACCTAAGCGCGCATTGTAGCATAAATCAGTGTCAAGAAAAACTCGTTCAAAGCTAGACTACACAACACTCCGCACCGTCATTATGGGGGTCGGGTACTATTACAGTATTTACGGTAGGAAGTATAGGAAAAGCCACAAATTAGTCAAAGAGCTTAAATTACTTAATAAACTACCGTAAATACTGTAATAGTGCCCCACTGCCCTCGTACAGTCGCGTAGTCGCAAAAGTTTTTTAGTATTTCATTTCATTGCTTTTTTTTCAAAGCACCCGTACTTTCAAAAAATGCGTCTTTGGTATCAAAAAATAGCCCTGAATTTCAGCTATTTTTTGATACCTAAGCGCGCATTGTAGCATAAACCAGTGTCGAGAAAAACTCGTTCAAAGCTAGACTACACAACACTCCGCACCGTCATTATGGGGTCGGGTACTATTACAGTATTTACGGTAAATATTTTTTTGACTAATTCAACCTCTTTTCAGATGCAAAGAAGATGTTCGCCCGATTTTCTGGAGTGCTCGCCCCAAATCGTACATCTATCGAACAAGGGTGAGCTTATAAGAACATTACAGTACATTACACTACTCTTAGCATTGTACTTTATGCTCAGAAATAGAAACATAGCCTTTCTGATGCACTAAGCCGTCATTCTTGTCAAGTTCAGTGCGCTAGAAAGAGTGTTTTTCGATGATTGTGCTCAAAATATTTGCATTGAATACAGATCTTTTCTCTAGGATTGGGACGATTTCCCGAATGGTCGTTGGGGTAACAGTTCATCGCCGGCTTTCAATGACCTCAAGGATTACTATCTTTTCCATTTATTGGGTTAGTTTTAAAAGCAAATATCTCTGGAGATATTTGAAAACAAAAGATTTTAGGGGTTTTTTTTGAAAACTTATCTAATTCTATCAAATTATTCGATAATTTATCTGATTTATTTAATTGGATCGTAAAGGAATTCTATCGTTATTCTATAGTAATTCTATCGCTATTCTATCGTTATTTTATCGTTATTCTATCATAATTCTATCATAATTCTATTATAATTCTATCATAATTCTATTATAATTCTATTATAATTCTATTATAATTCTATCGTTATCCTATATAATTCTATAATCCAATATCTTCTTTGAATTTTTTAGGAACTACGAATAAAGACGAGCAATTGAAAAAGTTCGGCTATGAGATCGCGGATATCGAAGATGTGAAGAAAGTTTTTCTGAATTTCCTTACACAGGAACCGAATGAGAATGGAGTCGTGGTGAGTTGAGGAATTGAAATTCAAATAGAATAATTCAAATAATAGAATAGAACTTACTTTTTCCAATAAGTTTTTAAGCATAAATCTCATCCCAGGTGACGTCTCTTCCATGGAGTGAACAAGAGAGCGGTGTTGCGCCCGAGACAAAACTCATTCAGGTAAATCTTAACAAACAATTTCTCAGGGCTTATAGCTTAAAGTGTAACTAAAATAATAAAGAAAATAGAGCCCAGCATACTTACAGGATCAACTAACATGGTGCAATGAGAACGGCATCTTTACCATCAACTCTCAGCCATCAGTGAACGGAGCGCCGTCAAGTGATCCACTCGTTGGATGGGGGAAACACGGAGGATATTGTTATCAAAAGGTTTCAACACAAATATCGTTATATTTTTATTGAACCCTATAGATTAAACCGATTTTTCAGGCCTATTTGGAATGTTTCATTTCGGAAGAGCATTCAGCCGCATTGCAAACGATTCTCGAAGAGTACGCGCCGAGAATCAACTATCATATCATCAATCATAATGTGAGTGAAAGTTAGGAGACTTAAAAACATGATGATTATCCTTAAAAATAGATTACCGTATTCTCTCTAATAGTAGTGCACCCGGGCGAGCCGAGTTGGTGACTATTTTACGGTTTTCAAGCTTTTGCAGAAGCTCAACACTCAAATCCCCCACTAGATCTCATCGTCAGCTACATTTTCCGACCCCACATCGATAGGTTCTAATAAGCGGTTCTCGAGATTTCGAGGAATTTAGGCGACGCTCAGGGTGCACTACTATTAGAGAAAATACGGTATTTGAGAGAATACGCTATTTGAGAGAATACGGCAGCCGGTATTACGGTACTTGTCGTCGGATGCCGTACTTGCGTCTAGACGTTGGGCACTGTACGTAAAACTTTCTTTAGTTTTGTACTGAGTCTTGTAGCATACCGGATTCTCTTTAATAGTATTTTCCCGCCTAGCCGAGTTGATGGCTATTTGACGGCTCCTAAGTTTTCACAGAAGCTCAACACTCAAATGCCCCACTAGATCTCATCGTCAGCTACATTTTCCGATCCCACATCGATAGGTTCTGATAAGCGGTTCTCGAGATTTCGAGCAATTTAGGCGACGCTCATGGTGCACTACTATTAAAGAAAATACGGTATCTAAGTACATGAGCTTGTTAAACAACTTGTAAGCCGTGTTGTAGTCCAGTCAGAGTAGACATGAGAGAATTCAAAGTCGGATCTAATTCCACCTTTTCTTGGTCGATTCTTGGCCGATTTTTTCTACAAATAGAAGTATAGAAAGGTTGTAGATTGTAGCTTATAGCATGTAGCTTGTAGACAAAATTTCAGAGCAATCGGCCAAGAAATGGCTGAGAAAACGAAGATGGAATTAGGTTTGGGTTGGAATTTTCCTATGTCTAGACCAGAGCTAGATCTAAGTCTGCAATAAAGCCAAGCCACGCCCGACTAGACAGACACGACTTGACTGCTGGCCTGGCCTGGCCTGATCTGTCCCAGAAAATCAGCCTTTACCTTGACCACCGCACTTCAGAGAGCCTAGTTTGGCCAGAATTGAGTCAAAAGTTTTGATTTTTCTGGAACCAAATCTTAAGTATATCTCCTGAAACGCTGCTTATTATCTAATGAATTCAAGCTTTCAACTTTTTCATATGACTTTCCAAAGTTGAGCGCTGAGTTTCGCTCGGCATCCTACTCATTTATGAGATTTTTAAGAGTAATCTTGTCAAAATCTCTTTGAGATTCAATTTATTATGTAAAATGAACGAAATTCCATATGCTTTAGTAGTTTCAGTGCAAAAATTTCTTGAGAAGTCCCACCAAAACTCACTTAATATAGTCTGTTTTGGGGTATTCAGAGGAGTCAAGAATAAGAAAATCTTATTTTTTTAAAAAGGTTTATCGCTTTTAAATTTTATCATTAAATATGATTAATTGTGGGCCATTCTGTAAAGTCTTTACCCGATCCATTTCAGGCAAGCGTCGACGTGGCGAACACCGAGAAAACGACGCCGATCGCCGTGACATGGGGCGTGTTTCCAGGATGTGAAATCGCTCAACCAACCGTCGTCGATCCGATCTCGTTCCGAGTTTGGAAAGATGAAGCATACGAAATGTGGACAAATCAGTGGTAAGGGTTATTTAAATGAAGAAGAAGAAAAAACACTAAATTACTATATGTAAAATGAACAAAATTCCATATGCTCTCCAGTAGTTTAAGTGCAAAAATTTCTTGTGGCGAAATGCCACCAAAACTCGCTTAATATAGTCGATTTAAAAATCCGATTAAAGGAAATTTCACTTTTAAAGCAAACAACAAGCAAGCAAACAATCAACATCAACAATCAACATCAAAAAATTAATCTATAAAGCTTAAAAGCTTCAAAAATCAGCCGATCAGCCTTAAAATCAAAATCAAACCATTTAGGGCATCACTTTACGCAAAGGAATCGAATTCTCGTCAAGTTCTCGAACACATTCATGACACATATCATTTGGTGAACCTTGTCGACAATGATTTCCAGGTAAGAAAAACGGATTTTAAAGTTTAAAGCTGATTTTTGGATCTTTTATTAGAAGATATCACAGATATTAGGTAGTAGGCACCTACTAGGTAATAGAAAACAGTACTAATTAAACAATATAGCCTACCAGGTAGTAGAAAACAGTACTAATTAAACATTATAGCCTACTACCTAGTAGAAAACCGTACTAATTAAACAATATAGCCCACTACCTAGCAGCCTATCAGTATTATTGAGTTTTCTATTGTTTGTATTTCAATTTTTCAGAAACCTTGCATCATTTTCGAGATTCTCTCTCGTATGGTCAATCTAGCAAAGGAGATTTCCCATCAAAATGAGCAACAAATTTGGGCCACCAATTAAATATTTCTGAGTGATATTTTGTTTAGAAAATTCTCCTTTGAAACGTGATAAATTTATAAGATTTACATTCAATACACGTATAAAAAAACAAATGATCTCAACTTTTGTTCAGCAGCATTTCGACGAGTTCTCTTTCGTTTCATTGAGAGTGACGGAGCTGAACTTGTCAATAATGACATATTGCCAAGAAATATTGAGATTCTAGAGTTTTCTTGGCTATACTTTCTTTATTTAAATAGCACTGTAACTAGCTAGTTCTTCAATTCACTGCTAGGTTAAAAGTAAGTTAAATTTTGCTGCACAGCCTTAAGCTCCAGTTTTAAATTGAAAAATAAATATGGACTTTTTGTAGAAAACGAAAAGTTTTATATCTTTTATTGTTTTGCTCTTGTTTCACAAGCAGCTCTTGTTTTCTAAAGCATAGATACAATGCTATTTCGAGTTTCAGAAAACAAGAGCCGTTTGCTGACTAGTTTTCTACAAAAAGCCGATGTATATTGGAAGACTATTCTGGCTGGAAACTGCTCTACTGATTTGCAGTTTGTCAGAAATCGTTGACTGACGTTTTTTCAAAGTTTTAAACTGTCTTACTTAATTTCTTCCGATCTTTTTCGTCTTCCCATCGGATAAGAGGCGACGATTTGTGTGGCTAACTCGAAAAAAGCCTCCTCAATTCCCGTATTCGAGGCGGCTGATGTCTCGTGATAGGACTGAAAGGCTTCTTAACAATGAAATATTGTTGAAATAATATTGTTAAAAATCTATGTTAAAACTATGAGACTAGTTCTTTCAAATGTCCACTACCAAACTGACAACAACAACAACAACTGACGACTGAACGACTGAACGAAAATTCGGATATCAAGAGATTGCAAAACCCTTAAAGTTCTTCAATGTGAGTCTTGTCGCCTAAATGCTTTCTATATACCGTAAATACTGTAATAGTAGCCCACCCTCATAATGACGGTGCGGAGTGTTGCGTAGTCTAGCTTTGAACTAGTTTTTCTCGACACGGGTTTATGCTACAATGCGCGCTTAGGTATCAAAAAATAGCCCTGAATTTCAGGCTATTTTTTGATACCAAAGACGCATTTTTTGAAAGTACGGGCGTTTTGAAAAAAATGAAATACTAAAAAACTTTTGCGACTACGCGACTGTACGAGGGCGGTGGGCGACTATTACAGTATTTTGGGTAGGCATAGAGTTACAGAGTTCGTCAATATTGCATGCTACTTATCTCTTTGAACTCACCGCTCCAATCTTTGCCGCATATCCAATCGCTTTCCTCTGATCAACTGTTCTTTTCATTTCCAAATCGGTTTTATTGCCGATTAGCACCAATTTCATTGCGTCATTCGTTTCCGCGTTTCGGAGAACTAAAAAAAATAGAATTGCTGAGGGTTTTTAGCTTTATTTATATAAATATTATACTTCTATAATCTATGTTTTGTTTTTCTTGGATTTTTAATTTACATTCTTTTAACTTACAATGAACCCATGTATTTAATTGATCGAAGCTTCTTATGTCCGTTATATCGTACACTAAAATCGCGACATCCGTTTTTCGTAGATAAATTGGTACCTGAAATCTTTTTTCTAAGGAAATACTCAAATGCAATACTCGAATACTCGTGCCATACTCAAATGCAAACTGATATAGCTAGTGTAAAATGACCGCCGATAAAGGCACAAGAATTTTTGTAGTTGAAATCTTGATATTAAATGATCTACATAGTGTACAGGTTGATTGTCAAAGCCTATTGCCTTTTGTAGTTGAAATCTTGATATTACAGTATCTACATAGTGTGTACAGGCTAAGATAAAACAAAACAAAGAAATATTATTCGTAATTTGTAACTGACCATTGATCTAAATCTTTCTTGCCCGGCCGTGTCCCAGATCTGCAGCTCGATATTTGTCGCGGCGATCGGGCTGAAATGTTATTTGGTGAATAAATTGAGTGAATCTACAGCTATTAGCTGTAGTACACCTGAAACTTTATCTTGTAAATCAAAGTTTTTCAACAAACATTGTCGATACGAGATAACTAGCGCCAAGTGTCGCTCGAATACTTGTGTCGAATCCCTTTCCATCGTATCGAAGCACGATCGACGTTTTGCCCACACCTGTTCACAATATACAATATTATAGTAATTACATAAGATAATAGGCCTAGACAATTAGCCTATGCAATCTGTAGATAATGTAATACCAAGATTTCAATTACAAAAAGGCAATAGGCTTAGACAATTAACCTGTACACTTTGTAGATAATGTAATACCAAGATTTCAACTACGAAAATTCTTGTGCCTTTATCGGCGGTCATTTTACATTAGCTATATCAGTTTTCATTTGAGTATAGCACAAGTATTCGAGTATTGCATTTGAGTATTATCCAATAAAGTCACGAGTACTCTTATTTATTTCCCAAAACTCTTAGACTCCGTAAAGAAATTTGAATTCCGCCATTATCTAATAGTATAAGCGACATTATCTAATAGTCTTGTAGCGACATTTTCTGAACGAACCCGATTCTCCAAGAAAGACGACTTTCTTCTTGATTCTTGATGGAGGAGCCATTTGAATAAACAATAAAAATCAATCTAATAAAAAATCAAAATCGATCTTCGAAAAGCCAAGCGGTTCATTTATCTGAAAAAGTGCGATTTGTACAATAAATTGTGTCAGAGAAGGGGTAAAATCGATGTCATTCTAAGAAAAGGGGAACTGTTCCCCTTTTCTTAGAATTTAGAGAGTTGAGTAAAAAGGGGAAAGAAGTGAAAAAGAAGAACATGAAAAGAGAGCCGCCTATTCATTTGATACTTTGTGGCGTTCAGTCACCCGCCATAAAAATTCTTGCTTAAGAAAACACCTCAAATGCATCTCTCTTATCACCCAATTCTAGCAATAGTTTTAAAGTCGTTTTAAAGATTGCTAGAATTGCTAGAATCGTTTTAAAGATTGCTAGAATTGTTAGAATCGTTTTAAAGGCTGCTAGAATTGCTAGAATCGTTTTAAAGTCGTTTTAAAGATTGCTAGAATTGGGTGATAAGAGAGATGCATTTGAGGTGTTTTCTTAGGCAAGAATTTTTATGGCAGGTGGCTGAACACCACAAAGTATCAAACGAATAGGCGGCTCTCTTGCTTTAAAACGTTTTAAAGTCGATTGACTCGCTAAAATACTGTAATCATTCGAATAAAAGGCTTGTAGACGAAATTTTTCATTTTCGAATTTATCAACTCTTCGATAAAAAAAATTGTGAACTTTTTAAAGACTTTAAATAATAGTTAAATAGTCTAAAGTGTTTTCAATAATAGATTCAAGTTAGAAAAGATCAATGCTGTTTAAAAAAATGATTGTGAATCAAAAAAATGAATCAATCAATCAAAAATGCTTATTTTTAAAGTTCTGGAGGAAGGTTGAAGAATCTATTTTTCAAAAATACATCTTTCTATCCATTTTTCTTGTGATACGCTACTCACAAACAACTATGAAAAAAGAAAAACATGTTGTTTGTCGTAAATCAAAATTTGAATTCCAAGCACTTGTCCTCATAACAAAAAGCCGCCCCCGATATGCAGACAATAACAGACAGACATGTGTTCGCGCGTCAAGAAAAATAATGATAAATAAAGATAAAAGAGCAAAACAATGGTCACAGTCAATGGGGAAATGGTGACACATCATGATGCCATCATATACAAATTGACCATTTCCCTTTTACCTTTTTGATTGGGGCAACAAGAAAATCGATTGACCACTACCGCCCATAGAGCATTCAGCCATCCATTAATCCATTGACCCTTTTCTTGAATCGAATCCTGAACTTGTTAGTAATGCAATAAACCCTCAACTTCTACTAACTCGAAGCGAATGAATGATTTATTCTAGTGATGATTGTTTGTGTTTCTACGGCTGTTCGGGTCCGAGTCATTCCTCGGTACTTCCCTTCTCTTCTTTACTTTTCTTCTTGTTTCCTTCCAGAGTGCGTGACGGTTTCTCGACACCTTAAACAATAGATAAAAAGATAGAATATAGATAGATAAAAATATAGAATATAGATAAAACATAGATAGTCCTGGCGTAGTTAAAACGTCGATAAAACATCGAATACTCACCAGTCCTGGCGGCTTATTGATCTTGATTTGCTTCTGGTATTGGCTTTTGTTTGAGATGCCGGCTACTTTCTTCTCGTTGGATGACTTTGGCGCCTGGTTGGAACGCTTATCCTAAAAATTAAGCAAAAGTAGTAACATTTAAGTACAAAAAGATTTATTTACTGTCAAATGGTACAATATTTTCGTAGAAACTTCTCACCAAAGCTGCTGCCTCAGCCGCACGTTTTTGCGCTCATTCTCTTGTGCTCCCAGGGCGGCACGGTTCTAAAAGATGAGAATGATAAAAATAACAGGTCTAACTGGATCTGTGTGTCATAGATGTCCGCTGCTGATCATGTAAATTTAAAAACAAATGTAAATTTGAACCACAGTCTCGGAGGAAACTCATTTCCGCAGATTTGATCCTTTGTTTATAAGATCTTCGTTCCAAATATAGTTTTTTTGTGCGATTTGTCCGTATTCTTGTTCTTTGTAAAAATCTTTCACAATATCGACTTTTATCACGGAAATTATGCTCAAATGCCACATTTGAAAATTACATACAGACTCGAGACACAGGGTAAATCAAAAGTTGTATGGTCACTGACAGGAATGAAACAAAGCTATAAAAGAATCACAGTCTTCGAGAGGGAACCGCGTGACTAAAAAGCGAATTGACGATAAAAAGAAATTTGAGATTTTCTTTAGAGAGAAAAAAATTGCAAAAGGCAGAATTATTATAGCACGGTGCGATTACAAAAGCCTAAGTCAAGAAAATAAGTTAAAGGTCGTAAATTTGAAACAGTATTAATCAATCCTCATTTTCTGAAAGAACGCTAGAAGGTACTGTAGAAAAAAAAAATATCACCGCCATTGGCAAGCTGGCTCTTTGAATATT